AATATTATATTATTATACAACATTCATAAAAGCTTATTTCGCAGGTTTATAATCGGAATAAAAGTTTATATTTAAAATGAAATAAACATTTTTTGAAGTACACAATAGCAATAAAAAAGTTTTATTGATACCCAATTTCGTAAGGAAATCTGCCATCGACATGAGAAAATCCAAATCCAATTTAGGTGCAATGGGAAAAGTTCATCCGAGCACTAAACACAAAACAACTTTTAATTGTCGCCTGCAAATGAAGGTTAATGACAAACATTTGAATTAAGCCTGAAGACTGCTAACCACTCGGAATGGCCCATTCGCTATCGGACATTAACATTTTCATTTGCCGGCGACCTTAGACAATTTGCCGCGCTGCTTGAATTGCCAAATGGTCAAACCGTTAAAGCCGAAAAACTAAAAACCAAAAAAATAAAAACCAAGTCTGCAGCAAAAAGTCGTTGACACTAATTAGCATTTAAAAGTGAGCGAGCTGCGACTTTTGCGGCGGCAGAAGAGTTCGCGAGCAGCAACATTTACAATTGAATTGAACATCTCCAGCCGGTTGGACAGACGAACATACAATAAATAATAAGTCTGCAGATCTCGAACCGAATCGATGCGACGATACCATCGCGGACAGATGGAAGATGCAATTGACGCGCCGGCGGCAACATACACAGCAGCAGCAACAAGCAACATGCAATATGCAATGTGCGCCAACTGAAGCAACACCAAAAATGTCAAATGTAAAAACGGCGAAACCGTTCAGTCTTTTACTCCAATGTGCGGACTGCAAAAACGAGAAAAACGCAAAAAGCTTAAACACAGAAATCGCATTCAACAATAAAAAAAAAAATTTGCACGCTGCCGTTTGCCTAACAAGCAGGAAGTGTTGCTGGGCAGACTGGAGATGGAAAACAGAGAAGGGGGAGGTGGTGACCAGGGGGAGCCAGAGTTGAGGATGCCGCCGGTGAAAACCAGCGACAATGGATGCAGGAAGCAACAACTGTCGTCGTCTCTCCAAGCCAAACCAAGCGACTTCCTACCCATCATCCGTTGCCACCCGGCCACCAAAACATAAAAACCTCCCACTTCCCAGGGATGCTCCCATATTTTCACCCATTGCGTGAGCTTTATCTTTCAGTGTCAAGCTGAAAATATTGCATCTTGGCTGCCTTTATGCAACGCTCCTTTTATTTACATACCACCCGCTGAGGCATCAGCTTTGGGAATTAAGTTCAAGTCATTGAAGTGGCATTCATGCGGTGATACCCTGCTTGCATAGCGACTGTAAATTATATTTACACAGGCTACAAATTTTCAATTAGTGATACACGAGCGTTTATATCTGTTATATCTGCCAACAATATTAGTACAGCCCACAGACGAATATTATTGATTAAATAAGTAAAGGTTATTGAAAAACTTTTTGGAAGACTTTTTTGTTTTTGTAGTTTTTTTTACAAATTAATGGTGTTTATTATTTGAGTTCAGACAAAATATTGATTTTTTTGATGGAAAATAAGAAAGTCTACTTTTACAAAATATATGAGATTATCTTAATTTTTTTTGAGAAAAAATTGTTACAAATCTTAATTAAAATAAATTAATCTTCGATACTTTCCGACTGATTTAGAAAAATTGAACTTTGTTTCGTGGAAAATTCAGACAAATTTTAGTCCACAATAAGATCCTGTTTTTGGGTTAAAAATACTAGGTTTCTTACTATAACTATAACTTTAACCAACATTTTCAAAGTCCCTTCCACCGACAATACAACTTACTGAGTTAAGCACTTCAATACAGTAAATTTCACCCAGTTCACTTTACTCCAATTTAAAGTTAAATGCTTTTTATCGTCCCCGAGGCATTGTGCCCCCCATTGACTGCTTGGCAGCCTCTGTCGACCAACCGCCGAACTCTGTTGCCCCTTTTTTTTAGCCGCATTGTTGAGCGTGAGATTTATCGCCAGCTGCGGTTTCTTTTCGGCGATCGGCGCGCTTTTGGCGCTTTTTTCCCAACGGCATTCGGAAGTTGAATGAAAACCGTTTAAGTGGGTAAAGAAAAGCGTATGACCAAACTTTAAAAAATTGCATACCACTTTTAAATGATTTTCTACAAAATGATAAATGAAAATTGGAAATAAAAATTATATTCTTTTTATTATTAGGTATACAGTTCGAAACTATTAATTTTTATTAATTATAAAATCAGCTTACCAGCTTTAGGAATAAGTATAAACATTAAAAATATTCTTCATCCTACTTTTAGCCAAAATGTTAGATTTTTCCAAGTGTTTTTCCAATGAGGTTTTTTTACAACTCGTGAGCTTTTCAAGGCGACCGCTTTTTGTGGTCTCGAATGTGAACTCGAACTTGGATTGCAGCTCCGATTTGCATTCCCATCCATCTGGTGACATTCGGAGGCAGCGGAGCAGCAGATTGAGCAGCCACTGATTGCTCCTTGGCGGAGGGTGCTATTGGCCAGGCTTTTATTTCGTTTTAATTCGGATCTTTCGGCTCTTTTCGGGGTCTTTCAATTCGATTTCGTTTCCCAGACCGAGCAATTTACTGCAGCCGTCAATACACGAAAAATCGCTCGACGCTCGTTAGCCGAGACATAGTGTTTGCATATTGGCATACCGCTCTTGCTCCTGACTTGGCCAACTCAACTTGGCCCGAAGCTGGCCAAAGAGCCTGGCTTTTTCGGTTACGCAACCACCGAGAGCGATTCAAGGTGAAATCGCAATAGGAAACACTGTGCTCGGCTGACAGCTGACTGCAGTTGCGTTTTAATTTTTATTATTATTATTCCTAAGAGCTCGATCATCAGCAAGTTTGCAACTTTTAGCATCTGCACATGCATCAAAATAGGCGGAGTACCGATTTCCCCCCCACCAGGTGGTAATTACCTACACCCAAGCCCCAAAGTCGTTTGTCAAGTGTCGTTTTATGAATTGCCATTATTCACGAGCACTCGTATTTGATTGCCCGGATTGGAGAAATGCCCATTCCATTAGCTGAAAAATATATGAGTAATCGAGTGGGCTCGAAATGGGTGTCAAACAAAGATGTGATGTGTCAAAAAGTAAAATACGCTTATTGGTTTTTTTAGGTGGTAGGAGTTTTGGGCCATTAAACGGTTAATGAAATGTTCACGTCAACTACTGTTTGTTTCTAAATATTTTTGGATTTATTTGAGGGGCTTATAGCTCTACCCCCCACGGATTGTAATACGTTTCAAGCTTTTATGATCTTTTTTATGATTGCAAATTTGTCTATTTTTTCTGTTTCCCTATTTTACTCTATTGAACTTTTCTTCTGAAAAAGCCGACATAATAAAAAAGTTAATATCGCATCGAATCGCAGTGTGCGGAATACAATGAAATTGCTGACCCGAAAATTGGCATCTAATTGAATAAGTGTTGGCTCGATTTTCGCTCTCTGTCACCTTTCTCTGCTTTTGTATTCGGTTCATTAAACGTTAAGTTCGATCTGGCCGAAAACTTCATTAAGCTTAACACAATTAGCCGTCTGAATACAAAAAGTGGAAGTGGCGGAAATAAGACCAAATTGATAATATTACGTACAGTAATAGTATAATAAAAAGTCTGGCCATTTAACACGATTTTTATTTGGTTTACACTGTTTACCAATCAAATTGAATTACGCAACACATGAATTCTTTAAGCCTGTTTTACGGGGTAATAGTGGTAATAAAGTAATCAAGGTAAACGAAAAACGGCAGCTGAAAAAAACCGATGATTGATTGAATGACATCTGAAATTTAAAATATTTATTAAAATATTTGTATTCTTTTACCCGTTTAGCTATTCGGTAATTCTTATTTATTACCCAGCATAAATATTTTTGATATTTATGATGTGTGAAAAATGCAATTCTCAAGCGAAAATTTGGCAACCCCACATTATCCACCATTTCCATGATCGTTTCAAAAACAACATTATTTGTGATTTACGGGCCACGTTTCGAGCACCAAGGATGTCTGGCGGTAAATACGATCCCGCCTGGCAATTACTTTCGCACACCAGACACGGCCAACCCAGTTTTTATCTTTATCGGTACGGAGAATCTCCCGATTCGTGGGCCCCTCGCACAGTGGCACACTTACTTACCCAGCAACTAGCCAACTAGCCAACCAACAACTGGCAAATAGCAAACTTGCAATCACAATCGCACTCACTCATCGTCATCCATCATGGCACGTATTCGCATTTGTCATATAGGAGGGGTAGGGAAATTGCCCCCGCTCGACAAACAAAAAAACACAATGCCAGAGCCCAGAGCCCAGAGATCCGAAAGACAGACCTCAAATTATTCGAAATTGCCATTGTTTGGCGTGGAGAGTCTGCGACTATCAGGGGTTTTCTTTCGATTTTCACTTTCGTTGAGAGCAGAAAATTTACCAAGTCTAATTTGAACCCAAGGAAAGCCTCCGCTCGCCAGGCCAGCTGACGCTCAAGTGCGGGATCGGTTTTGGCCCAGCAGCAGCGGAGGCTTCAGAAATATCCGACGAGAGCGAAAGTGCACGACACTGGGTCTTGAGTTGGCCAAAAGGCCTGAGAGCGGGAGAGAGCTCTCCAGCACATCCGACAGCGGGAAATCGGCGGTGCTGTAATAAGTTGATTGTGCGGTAATTTCGGTTTCACTTGCCATCCATCCCACACAAACAGACGGCTAGCGTTAACCCCACGGATACAGATACATTTACAGCTGAAGATACAGATACAACTAAAGATACAGAGACACAGACTCATTATTGGCCTGCTCGCCACGCATGCGCAGTGCCCAGAAAGCAAAGTCGCATCATCATCATCACCAAAGCCGAAAACCAAAAACCGAAAAACCAAAGCGAAGACCCTCTCGCAGTTACAACTTGGTATATGGTATATGGCATATGGCATAGTAGGGGTAACTTGGTATTGGTGCCGTGCATCTGGCTGGGATTTTTTGTATAAATTGCTGATGCGGCTGCAGTGGTTCGTCAGTGAAGCATTTGATTTGGTCTAATAAACAGCAGCCGAGTGCAATCCGAGGATATAGCAACGTGAGGCATCCTGAAGGCTCAAAGAGCTCGAATTAATCCGTCTAACTCCCATTCCCGTTTTGTTTCTGTTTCTGTTTTCCCCAAAAACCAAAAAAAAAATACCAATTAAACAACCACAGACCGAGGATTACTGTGAGATAGTGCCCAGTGCTAAAGTGCTAAAGTTGTGAAAGAATATAAAACCACATTACCCATACGCACCGTTGACCCGTGATTGCGCAGCCATGAAAGCCTTCATCCTAATGTCCTGCCTGGCGCTGGCCGCCGCTCGTCCTGAAGCGGGCTACGCCTACAACCGTCCTGGTGGCGGCGGTGGTTCCGGCGGTGGCTCCCACGGCGGTGGCGGCGGCATTGGAGGTGGTCTGGGCGGAGGATTCGGCGGTGGATCTAGCGGTGGATTTGGCGGTGGCTCCAGCGGAGGATTTGGCGGTGGTTCCAGTGGAGGATTCGGCGGTGGCTTCGGCGGCGGAAGCGGCGGAGGCGGCGGCTTCGGTGGTGGAAGCGGAGGAGGCAGCGGTTTCGGCGGTGGATTCGGAGGCAGCTCCGGCGGCGGCGGTGGATTTGGAGGAGGTGCGTCTGCAATACAGGGACCAACCTCTTCGAAAACTAACCTTTAATCTCACCCACAGGTGGCAGCATTGGCGGCTTCGGAGGCGGCGGCGGCGGTGGCACCACCCTGGTGCAGAAGCACATCTATGTGCATGTGCCGCCACCAGAGCAGGAAGAGGTGCGTCAGCGCCCCAATCTGCCCGTCGGCCAGTCGCAGAAGCACTACAAGATCATCTTCATCAAGGCGCCGTCGCCACCCTCGTACCAGGCTCCGGTCATCCCGCTGCAGCCCCAGAACGAGGAGAAGACCCTGGTCTATGTGCTGGTGAAGAAGCCCGAGGATCAGCAGGACATCGTCATCCCCACGCCCGCACCCACGCAGCCCTCGAAGCCGGAGGTTTACTTCATCAAGTACAAGACCCAGAAGGACTCCAGCGGCATCTCGGGCGGCATCTCCGGCTCCGCCGGTGGCGGCAGCTTCACCCAGACCAACAACGGCGGTGGCTACACCACTGGTGGTGGCGATGCTGGCTTCGGTGGCGGCGACAGCGGCTCCATCTCGGCCCCGTCCAGCAACTACGGACCGCCCGGCAAGTCCGGCCCCTACTAAGGAGCAGGAGAGATCCTCAACACCCATCGAGAACTCAAAATTGCGAACTTCGAACTCGGCTCAAGCTGCTGACTAGTCCTGTCGTTGACACACGCCCCCAAAAAAAACATAACTCTCACTCGAGAATCATTCACATTAACCACATCAAAAAACAACACTCACGATCTTCGAACCTGAATTATCTCAAACATAACTCCTTTCTTTGAAAAAAAAGGGGGCGGCGCTTTCGCCCACGACTTTTGTACATAATACGTTTCCATCTTTCCATTTCCATTTCCACTCACCCGCCTGACTTTTTACCATCTGTACATTTTCACCTGAATTTTCAATTAGAGTCTAACCTTCAGCCCTGCCTGGAAAATTCTATTAGCTAATAGGCGACAAGTGCGGGTTCCTTGGATGGGAACCTCGCTTGGCGCCCGGAAGAGCGAATGAGGATGATGATGATGATTTGTAGCAGAAGATGATTTAGCGGGGCTTCAAATGCTTCATACATATAAATATATACTTTAATTATACTAGGCTTAAGTACTTTATGCACAAATTAAAAAAACAACGGTGACAAAATTACGAAAAAAAACACTAAATGGTATTTTTATTTATAAATGGTAATTGGTAGAGCAAAGGATTACCCTTTATCCTCGCTTTTCCGCTCCTTTTCTCGAAGCTAATTAAGCTTATCAAATAGAAAGCTGAAGCAATTAGTGCCTTAAAGCGAATGCTTTCACTTTGAGAGTTCTGAACTAATTAAAAATTCATTTCTTACCATTATTCGAATAACTTCTTTAGCCGATAGTTAAAAATTTCCAGCATTCTTGTGGTCTTACTGTGGAAAAGGACAACAGTTGACCAGCAATTTGGATCCTTATAATTAATTTGAATCGTTTCCATGGCCAAGTTTTCATCTAAACTTTTAGCCAAATCGAGCAGGAAAAACTTTAAAACGGTTTTAGTGGCTCCAGTTGCACAATTACCGAAAGTTGGTCTTTTATCTCAATAGCAACTTCTATTTGGAGGAGGAGATATATGATCTTTCTCCCCTTCGGTTCGTTAATGACAAACTGTTGCTCCGGTTTTTTTCCTCTGTCATTACCAACTGAAACTTTTGAAACACTACAATCTGCCTTTGGTTTAATTTACTCTGTGTATTTTTGTTTACTTTTTTTCCGTTTTATTTTGCTACAATGTTTTAATGCCTTAAGTATACAGACAGTATTGGCATTGTCATTGCCGCCCGAGCTTCTTTTTCTCATTTTCGCCCAACTTTGGCACTTTCACTTCGGCGCAATTGTTGCTCTTTCGGCTGCTGTTACCTTTAACCCAAAACAGCCGCATGTTTAATTAAAATAATAATTACAAATAAAGTTGCATTTCAAATATACCTAATAGGCTCAGCTTTTATTTCATAATTTAGTTCATTAAAGTAAATATTAATAATTATTTGGAAGACTTTTACAAATGAACTTCAGCCTTATACAACGATTTTTTAAATAGTAAATACATTACTTGTTTTTTTAAGAAGAAATGCCTCCCATAAATATTTTATCAATATTTATCAATGTTATAGCCCCTTCATCACATACTCACATTAAATTCGAAGAAAACGAAACCTGACAAATGGCCCAAAATGGGTTAACCAGCTGCTGTTGCCTATTTTTTTTACATGGCAACGGATCCAATTCAATTCGAAGTGTGCCGCTGCCTTTGTCCCCAGCCTCATATTTTACTGCCATATGCTTCGGTTCCGCCTGTCTGGGCCAAAAACTGAACCGCTGCTGTTGTTTTTGCCATGGCTATAGGTTTACTCATAGTTTTTGTTCGCGCAATCAGTGGCAATCCGTCATACAAAGCTTTGCCCTGCGGGTCACTTCGCTGGAAATTCAGTCGAGCCCCTCACAGCATTTATTTATATATTTGCGAAGCCATCCTAAAACCATTCCTAGTAAAGGTTTTCATTTGAACATAGATGTGTATAAATTCTATGAATGGTGGACTAATATCTTTAAATTTATAAAAGGACCATTCGAATTCAAAAAAATTCTGTGTACAAAAATTTAATTTTAAGCATTACAAATAGTACTTCAATATGTCTAATTACTTCTGTTTGACCTTGTCAGTTCTGGGGGTCGTAAATTGAGGGAAACAATTTCATTGATGCACCAGTCGGTGCACGTGTAGCTTTCTTTTGGCCCCTAGAATTCCTAGCTGGCTCGTAAAAATTCGAACGTGTTTTCCTCCTGGCCAATTGGCCAAAACAGTGGCAAACCGTAGCCCAAAAAGGACGTAAACAGGGTTTTCCATGTGGGAAATTGGCCGAACAAAGAGGCCTGTTGACTGTAGAAGGTGGTGAAAATGCCAATGAGTCCAACATAGACAGACAAGCCAAAAACGCCCACTGCAGTTGATTTGAAAAGTTCCCAAGGCCACAACATTGTCGCAAATTGGTGTACATATACACTCAAAATAAAATTAACCCTAAAGTCAAGGAAATCGCCCTATTTTTGTCTTCAAGACAAGCTCGCCCTAAATTTTAGGGTAAGGATTTTCTAAAAATATTGTCGAAATATTTCTAAAATCTAGGGCTAGAAGCCATAAAAACTAGAAACCACTTTCTAAAATATAGGAAAATATTTCTAAAATATAGGAAAACATTTCTAAAACATAGGAAAGTATTTCTTAAATATAGAAAAATATTTCTATATAAAATGGCTTCTTCCACGATTTTAGAAATAGTTTTCTAAAATCTAGGGCAACCATCCCTAAAATAAATAAAATTCATTTCAAAATATAGAAAAATATTTCTAAAATTAATTACACATTTTTCTAAATTTTAGAAATTTATTTCTAAAATATTTTTTTTCACATTTATATTTTATTGAAAAATATAATAACTATATACACATATTTACAGCTTCATAACTCATTTATAAATGTTTTTGTTTTACTCTGTTGGTATACATTTTATAAGTAACATTTGGGTTTTAAGTAAAAAATATTATTAATAAAATCTTTTACATAGTTTGTATACATTTTGGTTTTAAGTAAAGAATATTATTAATCAAATGTTTTACTTAGTTGATATACATTTCAAAAGTAACATTTTGGTTTTAAGTAAAATATATTATTAATAAAATGGTACTCAATTGGAGGAAATTTGCACATACTTAAGGGAATCACTTTAAACTCTTTATATTTAACCTTTTTAAAGCTGCCAAGATGAGAAGAGTACTCGCACTCGACTTCGAGACTTAAAAAATGTATTATATTGTCTGCACTGCTTTTAAATATTTCTTGAATTTCATAAGCCTTGAACATTTCATCTGGTATATAGGAATATAACACATATCCTAAACTTAGAATAGGAACTAAAGTGTGATTTTCCTTTGTATGCGACAAAAACAGATCAACTGTGTCAAAGCGTAAGTAACAAATTTTACATGAAATCATTTTCACAAAAGAAGATCTTAACTTAAATTACTGATGGAGGTGTTTTTTAAGTCATTCAATAGCTCAGAAAGAATTCTGTTTTTTAAGTCAGATTTTAAATTCAAATCAAAGAAATGCTGTTGAATAAATGTCCAAACGAGACAGCACGGATCTGGGTATTTTAGATTGAGCACAATAAATATTTTGAAGCAAATCTCTACACTTTTTAATATATTAGGCAATTCGTAAAATATTCCGGATATGTATACGAAATATTTTTCAAAATTGTATAGACTTGAACCAATGCAGCAAATTATGGGCTGCAAGGGTTGCTTAATTTTATAATTCTCATCTGTCAAAACTTTAAGGTGTGATTGAAGTTCTCCAACGCTGCTTTTAAAGATGATAAAGTGGTCCCGTGAGTCCTGAATGGTATACTTTAACTTCAAATTCCCTGAAGATCCGCGTTTTCCCCTCTTAGTTGGGATGAGGACGGAGTGAATGACGTGAAGGAGTACGGCGTCCTTGGTATCTGTGAACAAAATATAATTTAGTGATAATATAAAACACACATATATATGATTTTTTTAAATATTAAGCTAAATTTTGTTTGTGTATTTTTTCTATACATAGAAAATTTACAATAATATTCAAAATACAGTGTTAAGGTAAGTCGAGGTAAAGAAGTAGTTATTTTTATAATACAGTGAAATTAGTTTTTGGTTTTCTTACCTTCGCTCTGATTCGAGAATGTTTTGAGTAAATTTATACTCTGGACTTCTTTAATTTTCGACAAAAATAGTGAAAGAGCCACACTTTTAAATTCTTGCCATTTTGCAACAAATGTGTCACTGTCCTTAGAATGTATTTTTTGGTAGTCAGCGACAATCTGAAAATAATAAAATTTTAGTTTAAAATAAGGTCATTACAGTTAAATCATTTAAAATATATATTTTAAAATTACCAACTCGTGTCCGAATGCCTGCTTAAGAATAGGAAATTCTTCAAGAATTGCGCTAAGTGTAGCAGTCGTAGACAGAAAACTTTGACGCCACTCAAATGTAAGATCCCACTTTTCATCAACTTCTCTTCGTGGTTCTATATTGAACATAAGCCACTGTTTACAGGTAATCACCTTATCGTCGTTAAGATCAGTTGGATTCGGGCAAGTGTTTTCGTCGTTTGAAGTTCCGCTTAATTGAACAGCAGACTGTTTCTTTGCCTTCGCTTTAAGGTTGTAGATCTTACTGTATAAAAGGCCTCCTGGTTTCTTGCCGAAATTTTTAATAAAATATGTTTCCTATCAAAAAATTTAAAATTAATTATGGTTTTAAGTAAAGAGACAGTAACTGTTATGACTATTATTTTAAAAGTTAGTTAAAATTAGTTTATTTTAAAGTAACTGTTATTCTTTGAGTTTTATATTTCTTGTGATCAAAAATAAAACTCAAACTTGATTTATGGCGATTTTGTTAAAAATGTTAGAGTATTATAAAGGTATTATTATTATTATAATTGTTATAATAGTATAGTGGTTAAAAATGAATTTATGTATTTAAATAAATACTTGAAATACCTTAATTTCAGATTCGAAAAGCTCTTGAATTTCATCAGCGATTTGATTTAACACAATTTGATTGGTCTGAATATTGTTGTAAACAAAATGTTCAGCAATAATTCCACTTAATACCTTCCTAAATTCGTTGGTTAGTCGACCAGTTTCTTTAAAGTAATTTATTAC